GTTCACAAAAAGTGTTAAAGTGTCCATATTGTATCAAATGTAAGTGTGGGCAGCCTGGTGTTATTCATCAGTAGAAGAAGAAATCAGTGCATAGTTGGCTTGAATTTAGCTTTTGATAGTAAATGCACTGAGAAAGAACAGCCATTAGCATCACAAATCAGAGCTAAATATCTACACACTCCACGGTGAGTTTGTGAGTTTGTTGTTGCTCAGCAGCTTTCTTCCCTCTCAAGCTGACGGCAGTGTTGTTTTTGGCAGCTGTGATGACATACGTGGGATGATGGTTGAGGAACAAACGTTACTGCTGCGCGTGTTGTATGGCATTATATATGACACTTCTGCTTTTGTCAACTTTGGGCACATTTCACAATCCCCATTTTCCACGACACGCAAGCGTTTTACTGTCAAACAAGTCACATGCTTTGAGCGCAGTGCATAATCACAATCAGGGCTTTTCCTACAGTTTTGCCTTTTATTTGGTCTTGAGTGACAGAACAAAACAAGGAAAATATAGCTTAGAGACTGTAAAGTGCTGCTGCTGTTATGAGTTACTTAAATCGCCTGAAATGAATGTGGAGGTGAAACTGTAAGCTCTGTTTTTCTTTCAAACACACACACAGGAAAACCACCAATTTTCACTCTGGAATTCCCTCCAATCTGTGCAAAGATATGTATCGTTGATAAACTGTCTATTCTGTTGATAACACACTCTCTAATCACACAAAGCTGCAGAAACTGGACAAAGACATGCAGTGCTGAGTTTGAATCCACAAACCTTCTGAGGTAATCTGGAACATTTTTCACCACCTATTTATCCATCACTCTAAAATCTTTCCTCATTTTGTGATGTTTTCGTCTAAGTTCCTCTGAAAAACAGTGGAAAGCATTTTGTCTCCACCACATCCACTTTGACATGAAGCAAAGCAAACTTTTTCCTACCTGCAAACAGAACTCGGGTCAGGAAAGCCAAGACCACAGAGGAGATCTTCATTTTCCACAACTGCAACCTCCATAAACTCTCAGTTAAATGCATGTGAAGAAAAGAAGCCCCAGGTTTCCTCCTCCTCTTCTTCTCCTGCGCCTCCGCCTCTCCAGCTGAGGCGTGTAACATGACACACTGGACTCTCTGTTTCTACTCAGAACCTCCCCTAATCCCTCCCACTCATGTCACACTCAGTGAGACCACATTTGGCAGGCTCACATGAGCACATTTGCACATATAGAAACAGGCAGGTGAGCATATGTGTGTGTGTGTGGGTGTGTGGGTGGATGTGCATGCACCATCTCTGGTTCTGGTAGGAGGACTGGGAAATGTAATTTCCTGTGCAGGAAGGAGGGTGGGGAGGGGAGTGTTGTTTAGGTTGACGCTGAGTAAATCACACTTCCAGCTGTGGAGGACAGCGGCCACAGACCTCAATCAGGGCTTTTATTTTGGAACACACACACACACACATGTGCTGACACAGAAGAAGGAGGGGGAGGGTTGGTTGCAGACTCTGTGTGAGGGAATCATTGCATTAATTCAATTTTTCCTAAAGCACTTCACTGGGGCAGTAGTTCGTCCTGCTTTCACAAACATCCCCAGACACTCGTGTTTAATATTGTGTCTTTGCAGGTCTGTGTGTGTTCATATCTCGAAATTCTGTAATTTTGTGCTGGTAACAAGATCGCCTATGAATTTTTGTACATCAGTCTTTCTGCTTGTTTGGGCTTTTATCAAACCTCAGAAAGCAGCGCTAGGATGATCTGGGACATTTCTGATTTGCAGATAAAGGACTGAGGCCTCTTTAAGTGCTTCTGGTCTGGCAACAGTTTGACCAGCCTGGATGTTCCTCTGACAAAGACGTCCCCACTCTGCGAAAGCTCTAGAACAGTGGTTCTTAACCTTGTTGGAGGTACCAAACCCCACCAGTTTCATATGCGCATTCACTGAACCCCTCTTTACTGAAAAATAAAATATGATTTTTTTTCAAATTCAAGACATAGATATGTTTTTTACTGGTGCACAAAATGAGCTGTGCATGTCACGGCGGAGGCTCTGCCGAACCCCTGAGACCGACTCACCGAACCCCTAGGGTTCGATCGAACCCAGGTTAAGAACCACTGCTCTAGAAGCTCCTGGAGTCAAAATGTTTGTGGGATTCACTCAATAAGAGAAAAGAGGCAGAGATCATTGCTAAGCTTTTCTTCCGACTGTTTATCAGCTCTGCAGACAGTTTTTTCCTTCTGTGTTCAGCATATATAGAAGAATTTCTTTTTTCCAAAGTGTAATACAAAACTTGTTTTTCTCAAGCAGCCAGCCCACAGTATTGGCTGGAAAGTGAAGTAATATTTAACTTGTATGAAGCTACAGACAAACTTCTTAATAAGCTGTTATGTTAACTGCTGTTGGCCAGTCACAGAATATGCAGTAAAATAAACAAGTTAAGTACACACACATATAAATAATCTAAAGATTTATATTCTCACAGATGTCTAAAGTGTGAATAAAAATACTGCAGTGGTTGAGCCAAAGGGAGAACAAAGCAGACCATCCAACCCAACCCATCAGCTGGCTTTGTTGAGTATGTTGAGAATGATGAGTAAGAGCTTCAAATTTGTGAATCTCTGCTCCATAGAGAGTGATACAAGTATCAAGTAAACAAGATGCATACATTTATAGAACCATGCCACGACCAGCAGCACATCTCCTTCTAATCTTAATGGAAAAGGCGTAACTTTATTTGAAAACAAAAACACTTTCAACTTTTTTCCCTCAACAGTTTCTGTATAAGAACTGAAAGAGCTCGGGCACACTGGCCAGGGCAGTTTAGAAACAAAACAAGCAAACTGCTCAAAGACCCTAAAATGGATAAAAGTGGGTCCATTCCTACAAACAAACCCTTTCACTCACCAGCCCTTTGATCCAGTTCATTGCCTGTTAGCAAACAAACAGAGCATAAACATACGGTGCAGGTCTATAAATGATATGTTTCTGCAGAATATTGAATAAATAGGTGAAACGAGAGCTCAGTATTCTTATAATGTTCCAGATGTTCCTAGTTTTCATCTGGGTGAAAGTGCAGAAGTAGTTCTGTGGCTGTGTAGTAAACATTGTGACTTCAGGATTGACAACATCTGCATGTTATTACTCCGCGTCTGTGTGTAAGGTTTCCAGGATATTAGACGGGGTTTTTAATGAGTTCTTCATGTGTCTCTGAGCTGGAAAAGGCAAACTTGGCAAAAGACTCAGACTTCTGATTTGGGTGATATGGATCTTATAGTATGGACATGGAAAAATGCCAAAGATCTACAACCTGAGCACGAACTCTGCTTACAGTGGGTGCAACAGTAGAAGACGTTTCACCTTATACATAATCTAAAGTGTTTAAAATGTTAATATTGACATGTTATAATGATACAGATATTCAAAAACAAATGTATCATATGTTATTATTTTATTTATATTCCTGTGCCTGTGAGAGTTCATTATGACTATAGTCCAGAGACATGGATGTTAGGGTAACTGGTACCTACAAATTGGCTTTAGATGTAATTGTCTTTCTATGTTAACCCTGCGACAGGCTAGAGTCCTGTCCATGCTGTAGCACACCTATCCCAGTGTCAGCTGGGATAGTCTCTTCCCTCCTTTGCAACCCTGAACTGGGCAAACCTGGGTGATGTGGTGTGATTAAATTTAAGCAACTAGAATGCCAGAACTCAAGTGAAAGCTCAGAAACAGCATTTCATCATTATAATTTCATTACTTTTTATTATTTGTTATTACCCCGCCACTCGAGTGCAGTACTGAAAGGCTCCACTGTGGTTGTTGGCAAACATCCCCCCCTTGTGGAAAAACTGCCAGCTGCGTCTTTCCCGGTGAGTGGTGTTACATAATTTTTGTGCAGATTGAGTGTCAGTGGAGCCTATAAATGATCTGAACCTATTTATAAGACCTTTAAAGCACACCAACGTTACACAGACAAATAAAACACAACAAAAGCACAAAGCCAGTCTTCTTTAGATATTTTTTTATGAACATCATTATAACGAATGTTACAGAGAAAGTAAAAGAGGTAAAACTCAGTGTTGAAATTCTGCAACAATCCCAACACTGAAAAACAAAAAAAAGCCGCCAGGTTGATGTTTCACTTTTTGCAGGGTTCACAGCATTGTCACTGTGCCGGACCTCTGTCATCACACGCCTCTGGACACCGCTGCATCAGAACGTTCTGATTGGCTGAGATGGCTCAAAGAGTGCAACTGAGGCTGTGGTTGAGAGCAGATAAAATTTAAGGCCATGTGCACCAGTTGATGCAAACATTTCTCTTTTAAAAAAACTATTTAGACTCCATCCTCATGTCTCCCTCGCTGTCATTTATAAAACAGAACAGAAGACAGATGAGCTACACTGTGTTTATCTGAGGAGCTTGGAAAGAAAGTGAGTGGACTTGTTTCCTTGAAGACGTTTCACCTCTCATCCGAGAAGCTTCTTCAGTTCTGAGACCAAATGGTGCAGAGTCCCAGCTATTTAAGCCCTAGTGACCTACAGCCACCCCCTCTGTTCAAAGATCACAGTGGACACAGATGGCATCTTTCACTCCTCTTTCAAACCATCTGTCCTCTCTGAACATTGGCATCCTTGAAAGATGGACCTTTGACCTTTAGATGCAACTGAGACAGCTGAGTCTTGTACTGTCAAGGTGGCTCTTCTATGTTGTGCCATGTATTTAAGAAGTGGCTGTTGGGTTTCTCCAATGTAGACGTCTGAGCACTCCTTGCTGCACCGCACAGCACAGCATACATTACGCTGTTTAGTTCTAGCAGCTAGATAGCGTGCTGGTAAGACTACATTCCTTTGGAGTGGGAATTGCAAGTTTGATTTCCGCCCGGTATACAGTAATGGTCCTGGCTTGACCCCCCCATGCTACAAAAAACCAAGCCCTGGAATGGCACGGTTATGGCTTCAGCTCGGACACAAGCATTACACTATATGTTGTACTGTGTATGCGATAAGTCGATTTGTCCCTGGGATGTACCAGATTTCGTCTGAGGTTGTGGCTGAGTCTGAAGTGCACTGGGGCGCCATGAAGAAGCGTTGTAAGGTTTAAATAGCTCGAATGAGAGGTGAAACGTCTTCCAAGCTCCTTAGATGACCATGACCTGGATGACTGACAACCTACACAGACACACATTGTGTTTAGTCTTATTGTACACAACTAATTTACGAGGTTAACCACCCTACCTCTGAAAATCTTCTCATGTTGACCTCTGTAAGGAAGCAGGGGGGAAAGTTGCACATTTTAAAGATGCGTGATGCATTTAATGCGGCATACTTTTGCATTGAAAGATTATTTTTGCAAGTAGTAAGTGGCTGTAATATAACCTCACAGTCCATCTCACCTTCATTGTTTTGACTCACTTGCTTCCTAATGATGCAGATCTTTGTTATAATGAATACAGCAACTAACAACAGGCCGATCCCACCTCCGATCAAAACGTACTTAATATCTGAAAGAACAAGAGGAAGCCAAGCAGCCATTAACAAACAAGGTAGTGATGAACGATGGGAAACCTGCATGTAGTTTAGATGGAGTAAAGGAATCCCAGTTAGAAAGTTTAGCTATAATTTAGAGAAGTAAAACCAAAATCCCTCACATGAAGACCGCTAGTACTGCTTTTTACTGATAGTCACTAAATGCCTCTCATTTTATAGACAGCTCTCATTCAGCTGTCTACAAAATTAGAGCTCAAATTGAAAGCTAATGCTGAATTACTCTGAACGGGGAATGATTCCTTTGAACTGTGCTTGGAAATAAACAAACCCACGAGACCTGGGTCACTCCAGAAAGCAGTTACGCTCATGACTAAACACCTGCGAAGGAACAGAACAGTTTGGGGAATGCCAGCTCATGTTTGCCCCTCCTGACATCCTGAAGAGCACATGTGTGTGTGTGTGTGTGTGTGTGTGTGTGTGTGTGAGAAAGAGGAGAAGGAAGAGAGTAGATGTTTGATTTCACAACTTGTTTACTTCTTGTAGGAGTAAAGATCTGAGGGTCACGCTCCTCCTGCAAATTAAATTGCATCATCGGCGTT